AGAAAGTGACTGCAGGAAAGTAAGGTGAAATCTGAAAAAAAGCCTGCCTGAAGCACACAGCATTCTTTCGTTTCCCCAAACCCAACTATGCTGGCCAGTCCACCGGCAGCCAATGGGATACCACAAGGTTGTCATGGACATTCCAAGGTGCTAGGCAGATGAGAGGTCACTGTTATCTCAGGGCATGAGGGCCTTGGATCCAGGCCTTGGATCCATCTCCAAAGACAGCCTCTCCCTTCCTAATTCCCAGGAAGTTATAGCAAAAGCATGCAAAAATTGCATCATCCCCCTCCCTTCTAACAGAATGGCAAGAGAAGATGCTGGACGTGACAGACAGCTTTGCCCACACACCAAGCAATGGGGACTACATGCCAGAGAGTAGGCAGAGCCCTCTCAGTCCCTGCAACCTTCTGATTGTTGAGTTGAGGGGAGGGAGAAACGTGAGTCTGAGCAGATTGCAGTTACCTAGTTACTCCTGGATTCCTTCTTCCCATGCTACCCCTTGGTGACATTGGGCTATTAGCCCAATGTAGGTCCAAACCATCATCTCCAGACTACAACAAAAGCATGCCTTTATTTGTAACTCAAAGGGAGGGATCTGCACAAGGTGTCTTAACTCAGCAACATGGGACTCAAATGCAACTTATTTATTGACCCATGGAGTGTCATTAGGTGCTTTTTCATCTTATGACCTGCAACTTATGCAGAACCCAAGTGTGACCATTTCCAAAGCTTCTCTTAACGATCCAGCTGAATTCTTCCAGCCTCGCATAATGGAGCATCACAATCTTTTGTCTTCTGCAACACAGGCAATGAAGTCAATGAAGGGTTTAAAAGAGGAAAATGGCTTCGAATATTATTGTGATGATTCTAGTTTAGTGACATGCAGTGAGGTCCATGGCCGGTGAGGCAAGCATGCAAAAGCCGACCTATGTCTGCCACCCTATGTCCGCCAGCGCCAGGGCTTCGGTGGGGCTTTCGGAAAGCTGTGCCAAAGCCCCGCTGTGGCTTTCCGCCATAGAGTGGGACACGTCCCACTCTATGGCGGGGCACGGCGGCTTGGCTTTAAAGTCCCAGCGCGGATTTCTGCCATAGAGCGGGATGCGTCCCGCTCTATGGCCGGGTGGGGCAGCATGGCTTTAAAGTCCCAGTGTAGCTTTCTGTCATAGGGCGGGATGCGTCCCGCTCTATGGTGGGGCGCGGCGGCTTGGCTTTAAAAAATAAAAAATAAAGTGCCAGCCCGTGCGCCAGCAGAGGTGGGTAAAACACACACACACACACACACACATTACTTATAATAATACAAATTACAATTACTTACAAATTACAATAATTTTGAATTCCCCCCTCTCTCCGCACCACATACCTTTTCCCGTTGTTTCACAGAGGATTTCAACTCTCCTCTTGTCTGCCATGATGAAAATGTAAAAANTAAACCTAACCCTAAACCTAACCCTAAACCTAACCCTAAACCTAAATGTAAATCTTACCTTAAAGTAAATCGTGCTTCTGTCAGCGCGCTGTTGTCAGCGCGCTTTTGACATCGCGGTTTTAGCGCCGCGATGTTGTCGGCGTGCTTATGACGTTCGCGCTTTTGTCGGGTCACGTTCCATTCAATATTTGAAGGTTTCCCAAGACCAATTGAAGGGAAGGTCTGGATCGTGACAATGGTTGGGGTCTATTTCATGGGTAACTACCATCTTCTCAAGTACGTCCATAGTATTTGGAGCTTTCCTCTTCAGTGGAAAAACAGTTGGAGCAAAGATGATACCTATAAAGCAGATTTCTTTGTGGAACCTGAATTTCAAAATGAGTATTTTCACTGTTCTGTTTCAAAACACGTGGTTTCTGTTAAAGGCCGGAGAAGATGCACCCAGAAAACCCGACTGGAAACCCAAGAGAAACAGAATAGGATGCAGATTGAAAATGACTCCCCTACTTACAGTGCCATTAAGATTCTGGCTCATGCCTTAAATGCTGCATCCAAATCCAAGAGGAGAGGGGAGAAGGAAGAAGAGAGGTTGAGAGCTCCAAGGCTGCAGTCCTGGAAGGTAAAGGGTCCCAACAAGGATCCATCAGACTAAATTCCATTTCAAAGTCTTTGGTGCACTTTCATCTAAATTTTTTAAGATCCTAAGCTTCTGCATAGCATTTTATACTTACTGGAAGAGCTCTGCATCCTCCCTTCTACAACCAAGATGTTTTGCATATTCAAATGCTCAAACACTGGACGTTTTTAAGAAGATGTTAGATAACCATTTGACTGAAGTAGTGTAAGGCTTCCTGCCTAAACAGGGGGTTAGACTAGAAGACCTCCAAGGTCCCTTCCAACTCTGTTATTCTATATTCTACAGCTTTTGCCTCACTACAACAGTGCACCCCTGCCTTCCTATTGCAGAGTAGAATCTAAAGGCAGCCCCCCTTCCCCACAACCCCTTCATCTGCAGAGAGAGTAAAGGCAGTTTTATATCTTGTCTGAGGCAGCACCCCCACAATCCTCTGTGACACCCCCACCTTCTGCAGAGAGAGGAGACAGGAAGCTCTTAATTGTTTGTTGTAAGGCAAAGAAATGAAAACAAGAGAAAATGTTTGATCAGAATTCATATTCCTCACTCTCATGTCCCTTCCATCCACACCAGGGTCGTATCTCCGCATATGACCCTTCCTCTGATCCCCAGGGCCTC